CTCTAAATGCATCCCTCGGCCACCACCACGCCAAGTTTAGATTTGTCCCCTCATTAACTCCACCTTCTCCAACCCTGTAACTATACCTCCCATTTCCTTTCATCCACCACCTCCCCAAATTTAAGCCTACCACACAATCCAGTTCTAGGTCCTAGGCATCGCCATTTGACCCTTGTCAAGAAGTTCACTTTCTATTGGCTGGGAGTAACAAATGCCAACCAACAGAAATGCAGCAAGGAACGCCCGCTGTCTTCTGGGAATTGTAGTTCCTGGACGGAAACCGTATTTGTCTGTGCTGGCGAGGAAACTAAGGGACTAGGCTAGTCGGCCGCATTGTTCCTCTCCGTTAAGGGAGGACATCAGGAGCTGAGGCGCCACAGAGACTCAAAGACTCGACGAGCTCGAAAGGCCGCTCGTAACCCGACGTTGCCCACGTCGTCACTGTCGACCGGGCTTCTCCATCGTATTCCGACACCCTTTCGTCTTTAGCCTTGTTAGTAGGTGCAGCAAGGGTGTGGCTGGGGACAAGGGAGTGGCGTGGAGGCCAAGGGTGTTGCGTTCAGCAATACGATCTTTCTCTTTTCTGGCCCTCTTTCTGTTCTCCTAAGCCCCTGGGGCTACCAGAGTTATTCTCATTCCATACCTATTTCAAAGCGACACTGACGTGCCTTAGTGCACACAGATCACCACCCGAATCTGACAGTCCTGCCAGAATCTCCGGGAACTCCATAGTTAATGAATACAAGGGAAAGTAAGGAGGAACTAAGGTGAAGGTGATCAAAAAAAAGGAATTCTGAGAAACTGTCACAGCTAAGAGGGCTAAGGAGACCTGATGATTAAATGTAATGTGGTTTTCTGAATGTGATCATGGAGGAGAAAAGGAATACTGGATAAAAACTAAGGAAATCTAAATAAAGCATGGACTTCAGTTAATAATAATGTACCAATATTAGTAATGAGTTGTTACAAATGCATCATATTAATGCTAAGATGTTAATCAAAGAAAAATTGGGTGCAGAATATGTGGGGATCCTCTATCACCTTCATTTTTTTTCCTGTAAATCAAAAACTTTTTTTTTAAGATGGAGTTTCTTGTCCCCAGGCTGAAGTGCAATGGCGAGATCTCAGCCTCCCAGGTTCAAGAGATTCTCCTGCCTCAGTCTCCCAAGTAGCTGGGATTACAGGCATGCACCACCACGCCCGGCTAATTTTGTTTTTTTTTTAGTAGAGACAGGGTTTTCCAGTTAATCAGGGTGGTCTCTAACTCCTGACCTCAAGTGATCCGCCCATTTGGTCTCCCAAAGGGCTGCGATTACAGGCGTAAAGCACAGTGCCGGGCCCCAATTTCTTTCTTTCTTTCTTTTTTTTTTTGAGACGGAGTCGCTCTTGTTACCCAGGCTGGAGTGCAATGGCGCGATCTCGGCTCACCGCAACCTCCACCTCCTGGGTTCAGGCAATTCTCCTCATTTTCTTTTAAGTTTGTTGTTGTTTTAAATCTTGTTTATCCCACAGGTCCGTATATAAATTATTATGTCCAGGGCCTTGAGCATAGCCTTTCTTTCCCCCACTGAGAAACCCAAAAGCAAAGGTTACCCACCTCTGGGTTCAGTGTATGAGCCTCCTTATGCATAGTCCTCATCCCTCCCCATACTATGGACTGGGGTCATCCCTAATATTTACAACCAGAAATAAGAGTATATTACTCAAGAGGCTGAGGCAGGAGGATCACTTGAGCTCAGGAGTTCAAATCCAGCCTGGGCAACATAACGAGCCTCTTAGCTCTAACAAAATAATAAAGAAATAAACATGGAGGCCTTTAGCCAGGCCCGATATCCTAGTATCGTAGTTGACAAGTTCAAGCTCAATCTGTATTCCCCAGCAACCATTCTTTATTGATTGATTGATTGATGATTTTTGAGATAGAGTCTTGCTCTGTTGCCCAGGCTGAAATGCAATGGTGCAATCTCAGCTCACTGCAATTTCCACCTCCCAGTTTCAAGTGATTTTCCTGCCACAGCCTACCATGTAGTTGGAATTACAGGCGCATGCAACCACACGCCTGGCTAATTTTTGTATTTTTATTAGACAGGGTTTCACCATGTTGGCCAGGCTGGTCCTCGAACTCCTGACCCTCAGGTGATCCACCTCTGAAAGTGCTGTTATTACAGGTGTGAGCCACCACACCTAGCCTCTGACAGCCATTCTTTCCTCCCCTCTGAGTGGCAAAATCAGTCCTCAGGAGGATAAAGCTGGGAGAGCAGCCCACTAAGGCTCTGGAAGCAAAACTGTGGACATTTGGGCAGAGAATTACAGCACCCTGGGTGTCTAGAGTGTGATCTAAACAGGGAGTCAAGGCCTTCTGTTCCAAAGGGAAGAGTGTGGCTAAAGGAGGGTCGGGTGATGTCCCCTGTGGTTGGTATTGCCTATGGCCTTTCTCCCTCACCATATACTCAGTCCACACCCCTCCCTTCAGCTCCCTTTGTGCCTCCCCAAGTGATAATCACTGGGGTTAGTGTGTATACAAAACAGCTGCAAACATGTGTTGCCAAAGCTTCTAAAGCAGGAAGAAGGGACAACCATGGATTCTCACCTTCACCTTCCAGACGGCCCCCCGTTACTCCACTCACACTTGAGGACTGCCTCGAACCCTGCTCTCCTCCGTCTCTCACGTATCTGACTTCCTGTCTTCCTCCCAGGCCCTCACTCTACCTTCGCCTGCTCCCCTGCTCTCATTCCATGTCTGTTTGTGCAGCCTGAGCTCCCCCTCCCACCTGGAGCCATTCTGGATCATCCTGGAGCTCCTGCCCCATCCCTCAGAGCCCAAACTGCCTCTCTTGGAGAGAAGCTGTCAACTCTGTGACTGCTCCTGGCTGAGTTAGTGGGTGCAGGGTCAGTCCACACAGGACTGGGGACTATTGGGCCATGAGGATGGTGATATTCTGAGCTCAAACCATTCCCTCTGGCAGAGAGCCTGGCAGCGTTCTAGGGAGGTACCTCCTCCCCACTTCGCAGTGACAGGGAGGCGGTTTTTGTAGTCAGGCCTCTGCTTCTCTGTCTCCCCACCTCCCACCAGCAGCCCTTTCTCTAGCTTGGCAAGGTTTCCCCGAAGGCTGGACGTATGTACAACAGGACTCCCTTAGCTCTGGGCAAGGACCATTTTTAATTCTCCACTTGACCTTCCTGCCTCTCTAGTCTGTAAACATGAGAGGCAGCCTTTCCTATACCACCTCTTCCTTCCATACCACAATATCTTCCTAGGGACCCCCTTGAGCTGTCTGGCTCACTGCAAGCACAGGACCCCATGATAATCCTCCAAAGAGTGAAAAGAGAGATGCTAACATTTCCTTGGGTGTACAACAAATAGCCCCCCCGGCCCATCTCAAAAGCCCCTTCCTACTTCCCCCACTTTCTTTGCTGTTCATTCCCTCCCCAACAGGGACAGGGGGCTGAGCTTCCACCTCTGCTGT